CTGTCCAGACCTCCCTCCCCCAATTGCCCCCACGCCCTCCCTCCCCCCCAACCCCAGCCATCCACAGTCCACTCCTACACTCAACCTCCCTACCAGACCCCTCACCCTCATCCCTCTCCTGCACCCAGCCTACCTCACACATCCCCCACCACTCCCCAGCTCCTGCACATGACTTCCATCCCAGACACCGACCCATAGCCCTCGGGAGAGAGGGGGCAGCAGGTCTGGAGCACCCACATGTGCTCCCCACTGCAGGTGGGGGCTGAGCCTCGACTCATCTACAAGGCAGCTGCGACCAAATAGCCATCCCAATAGGCTTGGGCAATTAAATAGTCATCCCATTAAGCTTGGGTGACCGAATAGTCATCCCAATAGGCTTGGAGAACCACTGATCTAGGTGATCCCCAAAACATCACAGCCACTGTCTAATACAACACAATGTGCTCCAGGAAAGAGTAAGGGTGTGAATTACAAAGCTTAGGTATGTACCTACTACTGACTTTGACAAGAGTGAAAAAACCCTTAATGTTAACGGAGGAGAAGGACATTATGCTGAAGGCAGTGGCAGTACGCCAATTTACACCAGCTAAGGATCGGGCCCTTTCTTGTGAATCAAAAGGGGCCACAAGGGCCCTCCTGCATGTAACTCACTTCTACATCCCCGCCCACTCAGTATATGCTTAAGGGGTCCAAACGCGATGCTTTGATCTTACGGACCTCTCCCTGCTAATTTGAGCCACCTTCCCCGATTCCGTTTCCTGACTCAGATAATTTTGCATAAGGGCTTGTTTCCACATTGAGCAGGCCAGATTGAGGAACTGGTGCGCAGGAGTCAGTGCAGCTGCACCTGGTGTAGAGAAGGATGGGCAGCGATGGCACAGGTACAGCTAATCAGATTCACCCTTGCTCATTCGGCATCATCTCTGCTTGAAGATCCCCTCACCAGCAAGTATAGCAGCTCTGTCAAAGAGAGCTCCAACCAATTGCATACACTGGAGATCTCGTTACAGGTAACAGTGACACTTACCAGCATCACAGCAATAATGCACTGAGAACATCGATTCCCCACACACATCCACAGTAACTACACAACCTGGATGAGTTTCCGAGTAAAGAAATTTTCTTGCCTAGGATTTTTACATCAGCTGAACAACGCGATTTCCCTACTACCTTGAGTCATTTCACTCCCAACATGACTCTTACTGGTGCCTCGGATTGCGTCTGTGTATTGCACAATGGACTCAGTAGCCAAGGGCAGGGCTGTCATGTTGGAGGAGCAGTGCTGATATCCTGAGGGCTGGGCAGGTTGGAGAGGCAGCAGGACTGAGCCCTGGAGGGAAGGACTCACTTCACTCTACAGCAGCGCTCAGGCTGGCTCACACGGTCAGGCTGCATGAGAAGTTGTGTCCTTCCTGCTAGAGGGGAGGCAGCAGCTACATAGGGCATTATTGAGGGCTTGAGCAGACTGAACAGAGTTACAAAGTGGGGGAGACAACAGCTGTTCATCCCTCTCTTTCACTGATATATGGAGAAAATAACATATCAGCTTTCCCTTTATGAATCTTTCATGACGAGGAAGATGGATTTATCTGGGGTTCAGGACACACTGGGGCTGTGAATCTGGGTGCTGTGTCTAGTCCCTGTGACTGGCCTTCCCTGGTGCGTGGTTGACTGCTCAGTTCATGACTCTGGTGTTTGTAACTCTGAGGTTCTACTGTACCACTGATGACAACAGAAGGACTCACAAAGTATGATATAATTGAAAGGAAGTTTCTAAGATTCTGGCTCAGAGTAACCAATGATGCAGACATCCACACTGGGCGTTGCATTAAAGCACATATTGATAACAGGAGATATATTTAGCTCCATGCAGACAATACCCAATTCCATCCACAGGAGCTGCATTCTCAGACCAAAGTCTGTGCATGACCCTTTCTCTGTACTCTCTGCAGGAACAGCCAGTGCACATTTACATGGAGAAGCTACTTTGCATAATTCTGCCCAAGCAGCGTTTCCTCACAATGCACAGAAGCTATAAATTTTATTTCTTAAACTCTAGACCTTATATTCTCAGTGTCTATCAGACTGATCTTGCTCCTTGTGCTCTGGATTCATGGTAAGATCATCCTCAGGGGAGATTAACACAATCTCTCACCCGTGATTTAATCATCATCAGATTTCTGCAAACCCACATTATTTCTTCATTCCATGAACTCACAGCAAGATACAGTTCTATATGGCACAGACCTGAATATAAATAGGTTGTCTACATGAAGATTAGTTACTGGAGATTTTTGTTGTTGTTGTTGTTTTAATTGTAGTTTCATTTGATGTTACTGATGTTTTCCTCTCATCCAGATGCCAAGGGACAGATTGTGCTGACTCAGACTCCAGAATCCCTGGCATCGTCTCCTGGAGACACAGTCACTATCCGCTGCAAAGCCAGTAGCAGTGTTAG